AGTTCAAGTGTGGGGTATTTTGATATCACAATAATTATACATATATTTCGAGCGATATTTATGTATTTTTAGCTATATTTTGGTATGATTTAAGATAAAAGGTACTTATAAAGTTTGAATTTCCATTTTACAGCTAAAAATCATTTCTGAGGAAAAAGGAGAAGAAAACATGCAAAAATCCGCAAAAAGAAGTGAAAGAAATTACACGAAGAAAAACGAGATCAAAAAGTCAAAGAATTTAAAGATAGCCGCGTTGGAAAGACGAGAAAACAAAATAAAAATATAAAAAGAATTTAAATTAATTAATGAGGTTTAATTAAAATAAATTATTGGGAATTAATTATTTAATTTCTAAATAATTTATATTAATTAAATTAATTTAATTAAATTTAAATTGCAAAAGAAAAAAAAAGAAGAAAAAAAAAATAGAAAAGAAACAAAAATTGAGCCCAAACTCGGAACTAGCCCAAAACCCGGAGCCCAAAAACAGGTCTGATCCGTTCTCGCGACCCAGATCCGGAAAAGGCGAGAACCCGAGTCAAGATCCAATGTCCGCCCCGCGATCCACTTCCCCCTCACAGACTAACCCGATATTTCCGATCCATACCCGGCTCCGACCCGGGTTGGATCCGCGCTTTTTTTCCACTGGTGACGTCATCAATGACGTCATCGATCCGATCCATGAACAGACTTCGATCCAGGCTCCGACCCGACTCCGATTCGTTTCCTCTCACATAAAGTCCGCGTGCCGACCCGTTCCGACCCGGTTTCCGACCCAAAATTCGATCCGGTACTGTTCAATAGCTAAACGACGTCGTTTTATGCTCCAGATTTGCCAATTCCGATTCCATTCCATTTTTAACCATTTTTTCTCCACTTTTTCCTATTTTAAACCCATTCCTTTCCAACCAATACTCAATAATTCACCACCTTTAAACTTTCCAACCATTTATTCCCATTTTTTTATTTCTTTTGAATTCTTTTTCATTAGATCCAATCTCAATTTATTTCTTTTTGGTATTTAATTCTTCCAATTTTTACTATAAATACCACCATTTTTCACCACAAAAAAAGAGGAAGAAATCCATCATACACTTTGATACACAAATTTCTCCATACAATTTCTTACCATATCACCACTATACCAAATTCCATCCAACCTTTGAACCACAATTGGGGATTCAAGAGTCAAAAAGCTAAGGAATTGAAGATTGCAGTGGCATTAGGGACTACATCGGGTTTGTTTTATCGACATGTTTAACATTCTCAATATGTTTTCTATGTATGTTGTAACCTTAATTATGAGCTAAATTCTCTTTGCTTTCACTTGGATAATGAAACCTTGAAAATATGATTTGATTTATATTATTCGGATATTAATTGTTATTTATTTTATCATGCATATTTGATCATTTATTTGTATATGTTAAGTTTTTGTAATTAATTTTCCCATAACTAAGTTAATATTTTTAAAAGATCACTTTAATTATATAGCTTGAATCATAAATTTTTCATAACCATTGATATTTATGACTAGTAAAGGACAATATTCTAGGAATTGGGCAAAATAAAATACTAAAAATTTAACATGTATATTTTATATCGTACGACCAACTTACGATTCCTATTTGTTTTACTACCACTAAAATGAATAGTTTGATCAAATGTTTGCATGATACGAATTAATTATTGTTAATAAAATTGTTAATTGCATGACAATTGTTTTTAATTAATTTTATTATCAAAACGGTAAAAAATTTAGATCATGATTTTTAACCAATTTTAGAAATCGGTAAATAACTAATAATATCCATTGCACTTAATATAAATCATTCATTACTAAAAGGTGGAATTAAATCTAAGTGAAAGCATCCTTATCATTCTTGATTTTTAAAAACCAGTTCTTGTTCTATATTTATTCTACACTTTAATTGTTAAAATTCTCATTATTGTCTTGTTACTAGAAATTCCCCCAAGTTACTTATCTTTTAAGTTAATTAGCGACAAATAGTCTAATATTAAATCATACTCGTTTCCCCAAGTGTTCGACATCCGTTCTTACCATTGCTATATTACAAATTCAATTAGGTACACTTGCCTAAGTCGATAGTAAATTCTAGTATCGGTAATTTCAACCTTATAAATTTAAGACTAGAGTGAATTTAACACATCACTTAGCATATTCACTTAATAGTTAGCTCACATTACTAAGAGTCCCACAAAGCACAAAGCAAGCAGCATTCAGACAATGGAAAATCTAACCATCATATTCCAATCAAACCTTTCTATCCTCTAATCAAGAATCTGTACATGCAATTCAAAGGCTCATACAATCATGCATAACCTAAACAGGTCATCCTATCACTGACTGATCAATACTAGCATGCAAGTCTACAAGCACATACAATAGGCATATAAGGCATCCTTCCTAGATCCTGAGCCCTAATCTAGTATGCAGTTATCATAATCATATCATATCATAACATATCATAACATGTATGGGTATCTTGGGGAAAACTTACTTGAGCTCGGCTGATTGCACGCATCACACACCTTGTTCTTTTAAAAGTTCTTTTCTTTCAAAGTCTTTTCAAACTTCTTTTAGAAAATGATTTTACTTTTGAAAATTTTCATACCAAGTCCTCAGGTTGATTCCAGACACACCCGAGAGTGTGCCCGAATCCCTCAAACTAAGGCTCTGATACGAACTTGTAACATCCCAAAATTCAAGACCAAAATTTCGTTTTAATTAAGATATTATATAAAACCATCAGTATAAAAACATTCATATTAATATCTCATGTCAAAACCAAAGTGTCAATAATCAAAACATATTATCATAAAACCATATCAGAGTGTAATCCCAAAGATCTCATGTGCGGAAAACATAGTGTGATGCGCTGCGATCAAGCCGGCTCCTTTCCTTTGAAAACGAATACCTGAAACCAAAACTCTAAACCGTAAGCACGAAGCTTAGTGAGTTCCCCCATAATACCACATACCATACAATCATATAACATACATACTGCCATGCATATATGGGTGCCCGACCTATCCCTTCGGGCCCTCTCGACCGGTGACCTTGCCTAGCATATCTGGGTGCTGGCCTACCCCTTCGGACCTCTCGACCGGTGACCGGGAGCTGGCCTCCCCTTCGGTATCTTTCAACCGGTAACCGAGGAATATTTCACCCCTACCACTACCACATAAAACCCTAGCATATAAACATAAATCACATACTGCCTAGCATATCTGGGTGCTAGCCTACCCCTTCGGTCCTGTCGACCAGTAACCGGGGACTATTTCACCCCCTACTACTACCACATAATATCATATCACATATATCATAATCTGGCTAGCATGGATAGGTACTAAACTACCCCTTCAGTCCTATCGACCGGTAACCGGGGACTATTCCACCCCTACTACCACTATCAAATAACATCATAACATGCTAGCACATAAAACATAACAGGTAGCAGCAAACCTAGATGACTATCATAAAGACAATCATCTAACATACAACTCCTACTAGTGGGCCGACATTGTGGCCGTAGACCCACCGCTACTGGAAGGTAACTCACCTCACACTGCTGAAGTCCCGTAGACACAATCCCACTCTGCTGAAGTCCCGCAGACTCAACCCTAGCTGTTGGATGACGGATTCCCGAACTGTCAACACCAAAATAACACCCAATTAATAATTGGGTCCCACTACATAACCATAAGTACATTCTTTGGATAATTACTACATTACCCCTAGCTTGGCTTATTCAAGCCCAAGGCCCAATCCATATGCCCAAAGTCAATTAGAAATCAAAGCCCAACACATGGCCTAATTTTCCAAATTGGGCCTAGGCCTATACATGGTCTCATTCTAAGGCCCAACATCATATAATCATTAAGGCCCAAACTATGGCCCATCTATGGCCCAATTTTCCAAATTGGGCCCAAACCCCTTACATGGGCCTTACCCTAGGCACATTAAATTATTCTAGACCATTTGCTTGACTTTAGATGGCCCATTAATAACCCAATCATCAAGGCCCAATAGAGAGGCCCAATAATAAACCCAAGTGAAATTAGGGTTTCACATAAAATGATGATTAGGGTTAAGTTTCCTACTTAACCCATTAAGGACTTAATCCTCTAAGGACTTAATCCATTAAGTCCAATATCGCTTAGATCAATCTTTGCCAATGATTATTGTTACTATCTCAAGTTATTAAATAATTCCCACATGTCCCGGTTAATTCCCAAAATTAGGGTTTTATTGGCATTAGCGTTTTCCAAACCCTAATTGGGGTTTCCAATCCAAATATTAGCCCATTTATCAATTTGTTGGGCGTTTAGGTCAATTAGGGCTTTATTGGGCCTATTAGGCCCACTAGAATATCATTAATCCCATTAGGGTTTTCCTTAGGTCAATTAGGGTTTATTAGGCCCATTAGTCACATGTTTGGGCTTTTGGGTCCATTAAGGCTTCATTGGGCCCATTAGGGTTTTAGTCCTTTGTCCAAACATCCAACAATCAATCCCAACACAACTAAGCACACCGCCACCTGACACGACGGCTCGTGGCGGCAGGAGGCGGCAGCCACCACCTGACGGTGGTGGTTTTGAGTTTCTTTCATTATTCTTGGCTTTTACAATTTTTACAATGAACACCCAAAATAAACACACTCACTACACTAAAATAAACACACACACACAACCACCCTTGTGGTGGTCAGCGGTGGCACGTGGCGGCAACCACCACCTCACGGTGGTGGTGATGCCTTTTCCGACCAAATAAACACTCACACACTACTCCACTGAATGAAACACACACATACACGCTTCTGGTTTGCGAGATGCACCGGTGGCTCACGGCGGCGATAACAATAGTTTTGGGACGGCAGCCACCACCCACGGTGGTGGCGGTGGTCTCTTTTGGCTCCCAATCATGCAGAATCACACGTCTTCAACGGAAGCAGTAGCAGTTGTGCTATTGACCGGAGATGGCGGTGGAGATCGTTGAAACGAAGGTGGCGGAGGTCACTAGCGACGGCGACATAAAACAAAAGGAGAAGAAGAAGACCTCCGATCTTGGTCCTCATTGTCGCCAACCACAAGAGGGACAAAGCACAGCTTGCAACAGTGGCACGACATCGGCTGCTAACGGTGGTCAAGGGTGGCAACAACAGCGGCGGCTGAGGCTGGCGGTTCACACCGGCGATAACGTGGTCGGCTGATGATGGGAGCTAGATGGAGTTTCGACCAGTCGGAAAGGGAGGAGGTTGGGTGGTTACTTGGTGGCTGCTAGCTGGTCGGAGAACAGACCAGATGGGTGGTGACGACGCCGGCTAAGGGGTCATATGGGTGGCGGCAGGTTAAGGGTCCTAGGGTTAGGGTTAGTGTTATCCTTATATATGGAGGTTGCATGAGAGGGTGACGGGTTCACCCGTGTTTCAACCAACTTCTGCCCATTTTACAATATCGGCCCCTCCCCTCCATATCGTTTCCAATTTAAACCCAAATGTTACCTTTTAGCCCCTGATTCCATAAATTCCTTACATAATAAGCCCTAAAAATTACCAAACATACCCCCACTTCTAAAATCCTTTTCAAATTAAATCCGTAATTTACTAAACAACCCTCAGTTCTTAAAACCTTTCATAATAGGTCCGATACTTACCAACCACCCCTTGTCTTCTAAAAATCTTTACATAATACCCCCGAAATTATAGTTTAACCCCTGAATAATCCCATTTATAACATTTTGGCTCCCAAAACCAACATCTTGCTATATAATTATTTATTTTAGGGCTACTATTTGTTCATTAATTAATTTATTTATTTAATAAATGAACGGGGTGTTACATAAGAATTCTTTCTTACATAACCTTCTTTCATGTTCTAACTCATTAGAACCACCTATGTTTGAAAACCACTCAAGGAGCTTACTAGAGCCTAATATCACATCAACTTCTTCCATTTCTTCTTCAAAACCGAAACATCAAAGCAAAGGTGAGTTCATACCCTCTTGTTTTCGGTTGTCTACTTGTTTTGGGGGAGAATACAAGTAAAATGTGTAGATCTATGTGTCTTATGCATGATATGTGTGATTTCTTGAATTATGTTGTGAAAATGTGTTAGATCTAGACAAATCTCGAAATCCTTGACAAAAATAAGTAGAATCCATAAACTAAAACATTTTTATACATCATACTACAAGGACAATAGTATATTGCATGTCTAAAATGCGTAAAACCAAAACAAAAGCTTTATATAAGAATCGTTGACAAATAAAGTAAAGTTTGGGGTTAAAAGTGATGTTTTCAGTTTTGTAAGGATCAAAGATGTCATATTGGATAAAAACTAAAAAATGTATGATAATCACTCTTTTCAAAGGACCAAAAATGTAAATTTTAGCATTTTGAGCTTAGAAGTTTGGGCCTTATGGTTTTGGGCCCAATTTGCGAAAAAATGAGGCTTTTGGGATTAAAAATGTTAATTGATCAAAAGTGTGAGCCCAAAATGTAAATAAACAAAAAAAATCAGGTTTAAAAATGACATTATTACTAAATTGGGCTAAAAATGCAAAGTTTTTGGAATTTGGGCCGAAAATGTAAAATTCACGGAAAATGGGCCAAAAATGTAAACTTTTGCCAAATAGGGGCTGGAAATGTCAATAAGTGCATTTTGGTCTGAAATTGTAATTTAAATTATAATTGGGCCGAAAATGCCAAGTAAAATGACTTAAAGGACTAAAAATGTTATTTTTCATCAAAAAGGACTAACAATGTCATTTTATACTAAGAAGGGGCTGAAAATGTAATTTCATGAGAAAAAGGGGTTGAATTGGTCAAATAAATATTTTGAGTCGAATGTGTCAATTATTAAACCATGGGGCCAAGGATATAAACTCTTATAAGGTTTTAAAAATGATATATATTTTTTTATAAACTAATAATATCGTTATAAATCAAACGTAGGCATCTTAACATCATACATAAATGCTTCATATAAAAACACTATACTACATCAAATATACACAAATAGAACAATGGTACGAATATTGGGCATGGTACTTGTAATATGTGCTTAATGGGCCTTCATGATCCATTTGCATGTTTATTGGGCCCAATATATTCATTTCATGTCTATTGGGCCTTAGTGATCCAATTACATGCTTAATGGGCCTTAAATTATCCTTTACATGTTTGTTGGGCCTTAGCGGCCCATTTACATGATAATTGGGCCTGGACTATTCAATATGTGCTTAATGAGCCTTAAGTGTCATTTTGCATATCTAATAAGCCTTAAAACAATTTACACATCTAATGGGCCACAGTTGTCCTTTTTCATGTTTGTTGGGCTTTACCATTTCACATTCATATATCATCGGGTGTTTGTAAAACTAAATACATATAACGTTATACATATTCATGCGGAAACATTTGGAATCTAGTGAGACTTGTCGGTTGGCACCTTTGAGTGTACAATCGTAGCCTGTAGTTATAACCAGAGTTTCCTGGAGGGAGAACGGGAGTTTGTGTATAGATCTATATGGGGTCACCCCCCACGCCTTAGCTGTTCGCTACAGCTAGACTAGGCTAATCTAGGGTGACAAACCTTACCTACATCAAAACCGGCGCCTGAAAACGCCAAGACAGACGAATTAGTCATTATCAAACATGGTTGTAACGGCTCACTTAGAGACTAACTTCATCAAAGATTTCGGTATATTTATATAAATCTAGACGATACTAAAAACATACATACATCGATACTCGGTCTTGGAAATTTTATGATTACGATACTTTTATAAGCAGAAAATATCGGATTTTCTGGGAGAAATACATTTATACATTACCTTCTACTTACATCAGAAAATACAGTGTTTTTATCTGGACTACATTGTTGTTATTTATACATTCCAAAAGCAGCAAACACACATGCATTAATACTTGATTTTGACACATTACCTTCAAATTACTTTACAGAAAATATCGGATTTTCTGGTGTTTTACGAACCATACAAAACTTTTCAATCAAACATGCTTATGAACTCACCAACATTATATATGTTGACCGTCTTCAAAATAACTTGTATTATCAGGTAACCGTTAAGCAGAAGAACCTTCAAGTGTGTGGATTTATTTTGTGTAATGTCACTCATCATACTAGTAATATTTTGGAATTATGTAACCTAAGACAATGTACTTGATGTCAACAATACCAGTTGTAATATGTAATGTTTGGTGATGATTGTGTTATGTTTCATGTATATTCATTGTGATGATATTTCAATTGATAGTCACACGAGCCCTCAAACGTTTCCACCGTCTGGTTCGGGGTGTGACAGAAGAAGTTGTTTATCGTCTGATATGTGAGTCTTCTCATTATACTTGTGGGTAAAAGGCACCAATGTCGGCCCATTGGATTGTTTAGGATGTTAGTTGTCTTTGTGATATTTGCATGGAAGACCCCAAGGGTAGCCCGTGGCATTTGTATGAAAGACCATGGGGTAGTCCATGACACTTGGATATTAGAACATGGGGGTAACCCATGACATTTCAAGGAAAGACCATGTGGGTATCCCATGACACTTGGTTGTAAGACCCTGGAGGTAGTCCATGACATTCCAGGAAAAGTCCAGGGGGTAGCCCATGACAATTGTATTTATAGCATGTGCTATTTTGGAGAACTCACTAAGTTTTGTATTTACGGTTTTGTGGTTTAACATTTTTAGGTACTTCCAGTTCGAAACCGAAGGGCCCGACGTGATCACACATCATCCCCCTTATGATTCCGCATTTATGACTATTTTACTTTGATGATTTTGATACACTGTATTGTGGTTGATTTTGAGACACTTGATGTATGGAATTGATGATTTTTAAAAAAATAAAAAATTATATCACTATTTTGGGATGTTACAATCAACATGACTATGATCTATTTATTATACGGGTTACGCGAGGTAACCCGCTAATGGCCCGCACTTGTTTAAGGTCAACCCAAACTTGTTTATTGTGTGTCAGGTTCTAATCATGGTTTGTGTCGTATCACGAATTGTCACCTCTAAAATTTCAACATATAGCCAGTCATACGATCTAACTACAAAGCCTTATGAATAACCCATGTTGTCCTCATTATGTATCTCTTTGCAAACCACATAGACAAACCGTGAAATTTTGTCGTAAATCTAATGATATGTATTATGTATTTGTCTTATAATATTGAATCATTATTTTACATGTCATTTTATTTTATTTTACATATCTAAGCTCGCCTATCAACCAGTTTTATCAAATGTCATTTTTAATCAGCTAGTTTATTAGCTAACAACTAGTTTTTCGATTAGTATGTCAAACAGAACTTTAAAATATTATCGTTTATCAATTTACAAAAAATAATATATTAAGTGAAATGTTTTTACAAATACAAATATTATTTTAATATGCATAGAAAATAAGCATGAAATATTAGGATATACATATTATCATAAATTAAATTTTCTTCTACTTATTCTTCATACTCATCTTCCTATCATTTTGAAGATGATGACAAGTATAATAAAAAATTATTAATTTGATTAAATATGATAAATATCATAATTTAAGTGTGTAGGAAGATGGTAGGAAAAAAATAGAAGGATATTTTATTTCTCATATATTATATTATATAGGTAAATCATGCACAATTTTAGTTCATCTCCAAGTCAAACCTACCGAATATAGAAAAAGAAATCCAACGAAATTGCATTTTCTTCCTATAACAATTTTTTGAGTAAATTACAACTTTTATCTACCGGGTTTGTTGAATTTTTCGTCGATATGGGTCTTAAAAAGTTTTTTTTAATCTTTTTCAATTCTTGGAAAATTATTTTAATTTAATATTTGTATTTTTCGAGAATGAAAATAAAATATAAATTACAAATGTTATTAAAAATACAAAGAAAGATATATAAACATAATAGAAAACGAATGACACTCCTATTTAACCATATCAATATGTAATGTTGGATTTGAACCCATTATGCCTAAAAAATTCACTAGAACGAGAAAATGTTTATGGGCCTCTGTTTGTTATTGGTTATTGAAACAATTGGTTTGAATTGCTTGGTTTTTTCATTGATCACCGGTACATTTATAGTTACGAATCCTCATGAGGATAACAAATTAAAAGATAAAGAGATAAACAATGAACTATTCAAGTGAAGATAAGATCTGAAGCTGATTATTTC